TGTGGACTTCAATTCCCAGAATTCCTCAGCCAGGCACGCTGAGAGTTGAAGTTCGCAAGTCATAAAAGGGCCAAGTTTGAAGACCCTTGCCTTATGTTATGGATCAGACCTCTTCCCACAGTAAAATTGCATTGGCTGTCCTAAAGTCTGAATGCCGAAAGTGCTCACATGTTGGGTGTTCTCCTCGGTTTTATCTTTGTTTGTTGGCTAATGGCCACAATAAATTAAATTAATTTTGTTTCAGCTCAGTAATAGACTCTGGTTGACTGAGAAATAAGATTGCTATAAGTGAATAATAATTAAAAACAAAGGGAAGGAGACAAATGCAGTTTATGTTGTAAATATTCTACGACCAAAACAGAAAGCAAGATAAAATAAAGAGAGTCAAGGATAACCCTTGAGTTGCATCCTTTGGGTTTATTTTTCTTTTTTTTTTTAAATAGAGGAAGCCCTTGTCTTACAATCCTTCGTTTAGCAATCATATGACGTTACAAGGGCACTGAAAAAAGTGACAGGATTGGTCCTCATACTTATGACCGTTGCACCATCCCCACAGTCACATGATCAAAATTTATGCTTGGCAACTGGTGTGTATTTACGACGGTTGCAAGGTCCTGGGGGTCACATGATCTCTGTTTGCTATCTTGCCAACCAGCTTCCAATAAGCAGAGTCAATACAGGAAGCGAGACTCACTTTAGCAACTGCAGTGATTCACAACTGGCGCAAAACAGTCATAACTTTTTTTAAGTGCAACTCACTTAACTGCCTTAGCAATAGTGCCAATCATGGTCGTAAGCTGGAGGCTGTACTGTAATATGTGGGCTTCATACTGACCCCACTACTTCCCTTATAGTTCAAATTTCAATCCCTGCATTAATTAGCACTTACAAGCAATGTTGACTTATTTCAGTTTGCAAATCCCCCAGTTTAAATGATATTGTACTTTTTGGAAATTGCATTCCTTTTTTTTTCTTTTTTTTTACTATTTTTAATTTTTGCTTGTCGGTACATTCTAACCCTGAAATGACTCAGTGTTTCCCTTTTATTTCTTCTGCTTTTTAGTGATTGCCCAATTGCACAAGATAATATTTCTAACACTAGTAACTTTAGATTTTTAAAATCTTTGTGTGTATATGTGCATCATTTGCTTGTCCGGATTTTTGTCTGTCTATAAGAAATTAGGGCTGAGCAATGTAGCTAACATTGTGCTGTAGAGATTGCCTTGCCAAACAAAGGTCCAACATGTGCTGGCATCCTTTTCCCTTTCTTTCTTTCTTTCTTTCTTTCTTTCTTTCTTTCTTTCTTTCTTTCTTTCTTTCCTTCCTTCCTTCCTTCCTTCCTTCCTTCCTTCCTTCCTTCCTTCCTTCCTTTTTCTTTCCTTGCTTCCACACTTGCCCATTGGCTTTCTTAGAAAATAAAAATAGCGGGGAAGCACCAAACATCTAAAGGAAGAAAGATAAGAATATGTACGAGTGAAGAGTTGTTTCCCTTTGTGGAAAAAATGTTTTATATTATGGTTCATCATGACAGCCCTTTGGTCAATGAGGAAGTGCCTTTTTTTTTTTTTGAGAAGGCTCACAACATGTTCTCAAAAGGTTAATGTTGTTTATTTATTTCATTTGTATACCACTGAATTGACTAAGGATTCACAGCACAGTACAGTAGAGTTGAAACATCCATGATACAGTTAGAATAAACAACAATAAAAAAGCATTGTATAATAAATACTGAAATTATAAATACTGTACAGCCCCAAGTTGTTGGAAACTTCATTCCATACAACCAACAAGAGAAACATAACAATCTTAAATAAGCATCTTAAAATGCTCTTTGGAAGTGCTCCAACTTGACCATCTTCTAGCACAGTGGCTCTCAACCTTTTTATACGGCGACCCCCGGTCACACGGACGCGCCGAGCATGCGCGGTGCGCATGCGCGGCAGCGCCCCCATGCACGGTGCGCGTGCGCGGTGGCGCCCCCTGAGGGGGAAAAATGGCGGATCACGTTGTTTGGCGACCCCCGTAAAATGGTCATTTGACCCCAAATGGGGTCGCGACCCATAGGTTGAGAACCGCTGTTCTAGCACAAGGGTCTCCAGACTTAGCAACTTTGATTGTGGGCTTCAACTTACAGAATACCCCAGCTAGCCTACCTAACTCTCTTTCCCTCATTAAGCAAGAATTACCTGTATAGACAAATATATTAGTCTCTCATACAATAATTATATGAGTATCTGCTCAGATAGAGATGAATCAGTGAACAACAAATACATAGTTTTTGTCAGGCCCCAACGTCAAGATGGTGATTCTTCCAAACTGAATTATTTGTTGTTTCCACACCTATAGACAGAATCTTGCCAGACTAAGCACTTTACTATCTACATCTACCATATACTCCGGGAACTCTTAGGGAGGGACTGTCCTCGCCCTCTTTCTCTCCCACAAAATATCTGGACTGAGTTCTCTCTTAATTCTTTTGGAATGTATCCCTCCCTTCTGGGAATCCACTCCTTGCTATAATCCATCACAGCTGTTCAAGGTTTGAAGAAGACTTGTGCTAGGGGGTGTGAACAAGATTGTACTAGGAGTGGAGAAACCCAAGTGCCAGTCCCTGCTCAGCCTCCCTGTGGCTTTGGATTAGAAATGGGAAGTTCCGAGTTCTAATTCCCAATTAGCCTGAGAAGCTTCCTTGGGGTCTTTGGGCCAATCCCTTCCTCTTAATCTAGAAGTTACCCATGAAATACGTTGTGCCTCTGCTAGCTGAAGAGTTCCAGGAATTGCAGTCAACGCTGTGCTGAGGAAGCTGAATATGAATGATATCATGGAGAGAAGTTGAGTCACTTCAATTAATGAAAAACCCGTTGGCATATAAATGAGGAAGTATAGGAAATTGGAAAAGCTTCTTTATGCTTTCCAGAAGGAGCCATGGGGGGGTGTGTGTGTGTGTCAGTCCACTCCTTGTGTAAAGCCTGGCCAACAGAATGGAAGGAATGAAAAGATACATAACCATCCAATGAATGAGACTGACGCTTATCAGCTGGAAAACTGGAATTTCCTCAAATGAAATATCCTAGAAACCTCGAGCTGGCTAAACCTTAGACCTGAGCCCAGATTCTCCTCTTTTAAAGTTTGATTTTCATTTATTACTTCAAGGGTCTGTAATCTACCCCATAGCTGCCTATTCTAAAGGTAAAGGTTTCCCCTGACCAGTCATGTCCAACTCTAGGGGGCAGCAGTGTCCGAAAATTGCACCATGGTCATGTGGCCAGCATGACTATATGACTATTCTAGTTCTACATTTATCATGTGTTATTGTCTGCAATGAAAACACTGCATCTGGCAAGGCTGCCAGGGCTCATCTGCAAAAATATTGGAGTTGCAGTGGAGTAAGGGTAAGGAATTTACAGAAAAAGGAAATTCAGAGGCATAAGGATGGAGTAAGCGTATTCTGAGAGGTAATTCTAAGGCAGGGCTTTTCAACCTTATCACAGATTGTACCACTTTTAGGACATGACAATATTTGAGTACCACCAGTGCTTAGCAAGGTGTCAAAAACATGATGACTAAAAAAAACAGGGGGATTTTGGGTTTTACTGATTAGATTCATTTCTTGTTATAGAAATGCTAGTTTATAATATGGAAAGTAAAAAAGTTGAGGTTCAGTGTTAATGCTTCTTTCTACTGCAACAGAGGAAGTCTGTTCTTTTTCCCTTCTCCCGCTCACTTTCCCCCCCTTTTTCCTCCCCATTATATCCTACTATTTGCTTTTGTATTTTTGTATTTTATTCTATAATCTAATAAAATATTACAAACTGTAGGAAAAAAGTAAAAAAGTACCAGTTTTAAATTCTTTGGTTCCTTTGCTGAATCATTTCCCTTTGCACTGACAAATGTATGATGAATTTATCCATGTTTATTAATATGCACCACTACCAGCTAGCTCAGGGGTCTTCAGACTTGGCCCTTTTATGACTTGTGGACTTCAACTCCCAGAATTCCTCAGCCATCATGGCTGGATGAGGAATTCTGGGAGTTGAACTCCACAGGTCTTAAAGTTGCTAAGTTTGTAGACCCCTGAGCTAGCTGGTCGGCCCTTCTTAGCTCTCCTTTCACAGTGCAGTAAGAATGCACCTCCCCAATCCCTTCCCTGTACCCTTAAAGACACAGGAATCAAGTGCAAAGTAAGAAAGGCTCACAAAATAAACACATAAACTCTGGGGGTTTTTTTCTTTAAGCTGCCTCAGGCATGTCGCAAGTCACAATGTTGCAATCCCAGACAGAAAGGCTCCAGCAATTGCGAACAGCTTTTAGCTTTAAAATTCTCCTGGCTGGAGAAAATGAACGAGGGGACCTTTTCTTCCAGCAACAGCTGCTGCTGCTTCTCTGTCCCTGTTTCCTCCCTGCAGGCTGATCTCTCCTTCTCTTTCCCTGTTGTCTTTTTTTCCCCTTTCCCTGCCCAAACCACCTCCTTTTATAGCCTCTCCTCCCCTCCTCCCCTTTTTCTTCAGTTCACCTCCCCTTCTGGAAGCGCCAATCAGCTGGAGCCAATCAGCTGGAGCCCTGCTGGCTCCTGGGGCTTCTGCTGAGCCGAGACAGTCCTGCAGCTGCAGCTGCCTCTCCCTCAGGCTTGGGTCGCTTGGGCTCATTCCCCTCCCCTGCTACACTTGGCTATCAGTTGCGTACCACGTGCCACATGGCAAAGTACACAGGTGGTACGCATACCACTGGTTGGAAAGCCCTGTTTTAAGGGACCGAAGGGAAGATGGGCTGATGTCTGCCGAAGATAGACTACGTAAGAGAAGAGCAGGCTCAGCTGGAAGGTGAAGTTAAAGGTGTCATCAGTTTTGAATCACTGTGTTTCCACAAGAGGCCCAAATCCAGCCCTCTCCCTGTGACTGTTAGTTAACTAGATTCTTATATGTAGGTAGCAATAATAAACTCTTCTGCAATTTGAAATCAACAGTGGGAATCTATGCTAACTTCATCCTTCTTTTCCATAGGGCCTCTTCTTCCGCCTCTTCTATCCCTGCGTCCCTCAGGGTGAGGCCGAGGAGCCATCCTGGATTCCCCGCTATGAATATTACTCCGGAATAGCTGACTACCTGTGCTTAAATAGGAAATGGTTTGCTCCACTTCTCAGTGTCACATTTGGTAAGATAACTGTTGCACGTGAGTTACTTAGTGAAAGTCTGTGGTCCCCACAGCTGTTGTTATGCCTAATAATGTTTTCAAACCATGGTGGCTTTAAGATCTATGGACTTCAACTCCCAGAATTCCCCAGCTAGCATAATGATGATGATGATGATGATGATGATAATAATAATTTGGAAGGGACTTTGGAGGTCATCTGGTCCAACCCCCTGCTCAGGCAGGAAACCCTATACCATTTTGGTATAGGGAATGGTACTTCAAAACTTCCAGTATTGGAGCAATCACTGCTTCTGGAGGCAGGTTGTTCCACTGGTTAATTGTTCTAACTGTCAGGAAGTTTCTCCTTAGTTCTAGGTTGCTTCTCTCCTTGATTAGTTTCCATTTGTTGCTTCTTGTCCTGCCTTCAGGCGCTTTGGAAAATAGCTTGACTCCCTCTTCTTTGTGGCAGCCCCTGAGATATTGGAACATGGCTATCATGTCCCCCCTCGTCCTTCTCTTCATTAAACTAGACATACCCAATTCCAGCAACCGTTCCTTATATTTTTAGCCTCCAGTCCCTAATTATCTTTGTTGCTCTTCTCTGTACTCTTTCTAGAGTCTCAACATCTTTTTTACATCATGGTGACCAAAACTGGATGCAGTATTCCAAGTGTGGCCTTACTAAGGCATTGTAAACTGGTATTAACACTTCACGTGATCTTGATTCTATCCCTCTGTTAATGCAGCCTAGCATTGTGTTGGCTTTTTTGGCAGCTGCAGCACACGGCTGGCTCATATTTAATGATTGTCCACTAGGACTCCGAGATCCCTCTCACGGTTACTACTATTGAGCAAGGTACCCCCTATACTATACCTGTACATTTGTTTTTTCTTGCCTAAATGTAGAACCTTACTTTTTTCACTATCAAATTTCATTTTGTTAGATAGTGCCCAGTGTTCAAGCCTGTCCAGGTCCTCCTGTATCTTAGGCCTGTCTTCTGGAGTTTTGGCTCTTCCTGCCAGCTTGGTGTCATCTGCAAATTTGATGAGTTCCTTATCTATCCCCTTGTCCAAATCGTTGATGAAGATGTTGAAGAGCACTGGGCCCAGAACAGAGCCCTGGGCACCCCACTACACACTTCCCTCCATGTAGATGCGGTTCCATTGAGGACCACACGCTGAGTACGGTCAGTCAGCCAGCTATGAATCCATCTGGTGGTGATGCTATCTAAGCCACATTTTTCTATCTTATTAAGTAGTAGGTTGTGATCTACTTTATCAAATACCTTACTGAAGTCCAAGTAAATTATATCCACAGCATTCCTCTGATCCACTAATTTTGTCACTTGGTCAAGATTGCAATAAGATTTGTCTGGCATGATCTGTTTTTGACAAACCCATGTTGGCTTTTAGTAATGAATTAGTTTGCCTCTAGATGTTTGCTCATTCGTTGTTTGATTATCTTTTTCCAGAATCTCCCCAGGTATTAAGGTCAGGCTGATAGATCTGTAATTTCCTGGATCCATTTTTTTCCTTTTTTGAAGATGGGAACTACATCAGCTCTTTTCCAGTCCTCTGGTAGTTCCCCAGTGCTACAGGATCTTTGAAAAATATAGTTCAGTGGTTCTGAGATCACATCTGCCAGTTCCTTGAGAACCTTTGGGTATAATCCATCTGGTCCTGGTGATTTGAACTCGTCTAGGCTGGACAGATGCTCACTTACCATTTTCTTGCCTATCTTAAGTTTTGTTTCTGTTCTGTTTTTTATGGCATTATTTTTGATAGGTTGGTCTGTTTTTTCCCTTTGTGTAAAGACAGATGCAAAAAACGAGTTAAATAGTTCTGCTTTCTTCCTGTTGCTTGTCATCTTCCTGCTACTTTCCTCCACTAATGGACCAATCATTTCCTTCACTTTTTTATTTTTTTTTACATGTTGAAAGAAGCTTTTTTGTTATTTTTTACTTTGGTCACAAGCCTTAATTCATTTTGAGCTTTAGCTTTCCTCATCTTTGCAGGCTCGGGCTATTTGCTGATATTCTGCCTTAGTTATGTGCCCCTCTTTCCACTTTTTATACTTGTCCTTTTTATCTTTCAATTTATCAGAGAGTTCTTTATGAAGCCATGCTGGTTTCTTTTGAGAGCTGTTATTTTTCTTCTTTGTTGGTATTGTGCTAGACTGGGCTTTTATTATCTCACTTTTCAAAATTTCCCAAGCTCCTTGAGTTGTTTTCCTCTTGAGGATTCTCATCCATGGAATCCTTCCCAAGCTCTCTCTAAGTTTATTGAAATTAGCTCTCTTGAAGTCCAAGACTCTAGTTTGACTGTGTTCTATTGCTTGTGCTTCCATAATGTTGAATTCCAATATTGCATGATCACTTCCTCCCAAGGTTCCTGTGGCTTTAACACCTTCTATCATTTCATCTCTGTTAGTGAGAATTAGATCCAATATGGCTAATCCTCTAGTTCCTTTCTCTATTTTTTGGGAGACAAAGTTGTCTGCTAGGTTTATCAGGAAACTGTTTGATCTTCCACTTGGTGCAGAGTTTTCTCCCAGTTGATGTCAAGGTAATTAAAGTCCCCCATTACTATTGTGATGTGCTTCCTACATACCTTAGTTAGCTGATTAGCAAAAAGTTCATATATTTCCTCTGTTTGGCTGGGTGGCCTATAGTATACACCTATGGCAATGTCATTTTTCCCCCTTTTATATTGACCAAATGCATTCAAGAGAGTTTTCATCATTGTTGTGCTCTATTTCTGTAGAGATGTAGTTATTTCTTATATAGAGAGCAACTCTACTTCCTCTTTTATTTGGTCTGTTTCTTTTAAATAGTTTAAATCCCTCTAGCTGTGTGTTCCATTTGTGGGTTTCATCCCACCATGTTTCCATATTGGCAACAATATCATATCTGCCATCATTAACCTGAATTTCTAGTTCATCCTGTTTGCTATTCATACTCTGTGCATTGGTGTATAGACATTTGAGTCCTTTATGACTGACCCTATGTTTACTTTCTACATAACTTGTGTAGTGCCTAAGTTCCCCTATTTTCTTTCCACCTATTTGGTTAGTGCACTTTGTGTGGCACTCACTATTAAAAGCTTGATTTTGCTTGACAGCAAGGTTGATATTCTTGTCCACACACACATCTATGTTACATGCACTGATAGCCCTATAATTTTTAGATTGCCCGGGACAGGGATGTTCTGTATCAATTAACTCATTGTCCCCGCTGTTTAGTTTAAATATTCCTCCAGAAAATCTGTGAATTTATTGCTGAGTAACTCAGTCCCTTTCTTTGATGGATGCAAACCATCTCTTTTGTACATTTTTTCATTGGACCAGCTACAGACATCGTGACTAATATAACCAAAGCCTTCCCCTTTACACCACTCCTTTAGCTACATATTGAATTCTGCTATACGCTGACCTTTTCCATTTTGCTCCTTATACACTGGTAAAACTTCTGAAAAAGTAAGACTACAGCCTATCCTGCTAAGTTCCTGCCCCAAGCTCTGGGAATCATTCTGCACAGAGAGTACATCTTTTTGGGACAGATCATTAGTGCCAAGATGTACAATAGCCTCCACATCACAGTACTTGCTGGCATTCTTGACTATTTTAGAAATACGCTTCTTGTCCCTACTGGCAGTAGCACCTGGAAGACACTTGACCTCTTTTTGAAACCTCTGTGTCCTTTCCTAAATTTACATCCCTTATAATTGAATCACCAACCAGAAGGTGGCTTCTCTTTTTGGATGCCTTTCTGTTCTTGCATGACTGGTGTATAATACCTGATTCGCACTTCTCCCTGTCGAAAACAAGTTCTTCATCTTGGACCACAATCCCCTGCTTATTTGAGTTATCATCACAAATACCTTTACCTGTCTCCTTAATGTCCCTGTTAAGGTCAGCAAGGGCACTATATCTGTTGTGCAGGGACACAGTGAAAGCTTTGTGTTTATGGTTCACAGCTCTTACCTTGCCAGATCCCACGGTTGTCCACACTGCCCTTCTCGTGCAGGATCTTTGTGGTAGAGGGGGCTGATAGCGTGGAGGCTCAGTAGAGTAGAAGGGCTGAACTGGACACCTAATTTCTGCCTGAAAAGCACAGATTACAGACCCTAGATAGATAATCTGTCCTTTAGATTAGTTTCCAAGTTTGAAAAGGGTACTGTGAAAGACAGCTGCAAAACAAGTGTTGCACTGTACTAAGCCAGACATTCTGAGATACAAGGAATCTCAGATGTACTTGCCCTGAATGTACTGTTGCTGTTTTTGATATCTAGTTATATGATTTGCGGGTCATTAGGCACGCGGGCCGCTACTTTCCTGTTCCACCCTCCTCTGTTTTAACTTACAGATTGTAGCTTTTCCCAGCAAGTTCTGGGCAGTTTAAATGCAGTTTAAATGCAATAGAGGTCCAATCATCAGGGCCTCAGCTACTTTCCTGCTCCACCCTCCACCGTCATAAATATGAGTCAGTTGCCAAACATCCAAATTTTGATCACCTGACCCTGGGGATGCTGCAACGGTCATAAGTGTGAAAAACGGTCATAAGTCCCTTTTTTCAGTGCTATTGTAACTTTGAACGGTCACTAAATGAACTGTTGTAAGTCGAGGACTACCTCTAAATGAAGTGAATTAGCTTAATTCTGCACCACGTTTACTATTTAAATCTAAAGAGCATCTATATATGTATATACCTCTGTTTCTCTTCTGAGCATGTGTGCCAAAGTAATTCACATAACTCTAATGCAGTATTTTTGCTAACCGATAGAAAAATATTTCTGGTTTCCAGTTTTAAGTTCTACAACTCTTTTGTCTTTTCACTATACCAGTGGTTCTCAACCTGTGGGTTGGGACCCCATTTGGGGTCGAACGACCATTTCACGGGGGTCGCCAAACAACGCAGTTTGCCATTTTTTCCCCCTTTTCTTTGGCCACGCCCCTGGCACCTGGTGATGTATAAGTGGTTGGGGGTCACCACAACATGGGGAACTGTATTATGGGGTCGCGGCATTAGAAAGGTTGAGAACCACTGCACTATACAGTTCAATTTGTTCATACTGAGCTACAGTCTTTTTTTCTAACTGTACTTTCCAGGCCTGGTTCAAACTGAAAGAACAATGTCTTCCTAAAATCAAGCACGTTTATCATCTTGAGAGGGAAGTGGGTTTGAAATTTCTGAATAACTGCCTGGGTTATAAAGTCACACTTTTACAACCCATGGGAGTGAATAATGTCTTTGGTAACTTTTTGCTGAGAGAGATGGGTGGTTAAGAAATAGCATATACAGGTGGTCCTCACCACGGTTCATTTAGTGACCATTCAAAGTTACAACGGCACTGAAAAAAGTGACGTAGGACCGTTTTTCACACTTTTGACGGTTGCAGCATCCCCAGGGTCATGTGATTTACATATGGATGTTTGACAAGTGGTTCATACTTATGACGGTTGCAGTGCCCCAGGGTCATGTGATCACCTTTATTGACCTTTTGACAAGCAAGGTCTATGGGGGAAGCCAGATTCACTTAAAAACCATGTTACTAATTTAACCACTGAAGTGGTTCACTTAACTAATAATAATAATAATAATAATAATGTTGGAAGGAACCTTGGAGGTCATCTAGTCCAACCCCCTGCTCAGGCAGGAAACCCTATACCATTTCGGACAAATGGCTGTCCAGTCTCTTCTTAAAAACTTCCAGTGTTGGAGCATTCACCGCTTCTGGAGGCAGGTTGTTCCACTGGTTAATTGTTCTAACAGTCAGGGAGTTTCTCCTTAGTTCTAGGTTGCTTCACTCCTTGGTTAGTTTCCCTCCGTTGCTTCTTGTCCTGCCTTCAGGCACTTTGGAGAAGAGCTTGATTCCCTCTTCTTTGTGGCAGCCCCTGAGATATTGGAACACTGCTATCCTGTCACCCCTTGTCCTTCTCTTCATTAAACTAGATGTGGCAAGAAAAGTCATAAAATGGGGTAAAGCTCACTTAACAAGTTTCTCACTTAACAACATAAATTTTGGGCTCGGTTGTGATCGTAAGTCGAGGACTACCTATGTATATCAATAAATATGCTCTTCATTTTCACAGGATCGTGTAAGATCCCTGTAAGCTGGGATGCGCCTTTCCGACCCAGTTCCCACAAGTATCCCTTGATCATATTCTCCCATGGACTAGGAGCCTTTCGGTGAGTTTGTACAAGTGGGTGGAAAACCGACCAGTTCAGAAAGGCCAGGAATGGTTAGCTAATAAAAACAGAGGTTAGAAAGTTGGAAATATGAGAAAATGTGGATTATGTGAGGAAGATTTATAACAGATTAGTAAATACTTTGATTGTTATACAATTAATGTTAATGTGGGAAATACTATTTTTAATAATATGATTGTTATTTCCTAGTATATGATTGCACTCTGATAAGATTATTGTGAATGTGATGATTTTTATATTCTAATACTGACCAGTGGTGGCGAACCTATGGCACTAGTGCCAGAGGCGGCAGTCGGAGCCCTCTCTGTGGGCACGCAAGCTGTCACCCCAGCCCCGCCTCCCCCATAGCCCCCTCCTCACCAGCAGCCCCCCCGGAGAAGAGTCACCCCCGGGTGCAGCCCGTGTGGAGCTGCACAGCCAAGCACATGGCAGCTGGGCAGTAGATGATGCTGCAAGGTGCGGGTGAAGGGCGTGGCCACCATGGTGCTGCAGAGCTGCCTGGGCGATCTGCGGCATGCTGTGGATGGTCCTGAGGGTGGGTGGGGTGAGGGCGGAGCAGGGCAGGAGCGGGCGGAGTGGGGGCGGGCCGGTTTTGGGGCACTCAGTCTCTAAAAGGTTTGCCATCACTGACCTAGACAGCACCCTGTTCAATACAGAAATAGAATTTTTGAGATAACAACAACAACAATAATAATAATAATAACAATAATAGTAAAACTGGCCTGCCCCCCCCCCCAGCCTGCCCCTCTCTCTCGCTCTCTCGCTCTCTCTCTTTTGCCATTTCCAAACCTGCTTTCTGACTGTCACTAAATTTGGGCAGCAGTGACCAGTGGGTGGGTGACCAGTTTTCTTGCTGAAAATTGGTACCGTACGAGTGGTCCTTTAATGGCTTTTCACAGTTTCGATGGTGCTGAAAAACAGTGACTTACAATTAGTCCTCATACTTAAGACGGTTGCAGTGGTCACGTGATCACAGTTCAGGTGCACGGCTGCCAGAATGTATTTACAATGGGTAACCTGTGCCAGGGTCACACGATCCCCATTTGCAGCCTTTCAAAGGGACCCTCCCCAACAAGCAAAGTCAGTGGGGGGACCTTGATTCAGTTAATGACCATGACAACAAAGCCATAAAATTTAGCGTGTCTCACACAATGTCTATATCGCTTAATGACAAAAGTTCCCACCCCCAATTGTGGTCATAAGTTGAGAACTACTTGTATTTTCATTTTGCTTAGACCTAGTGCAGGGGTAGGCAACCTTGGCTCTTTTATGACTCGTAGACTTCAACTCCCAGAATTCCTGAACCAGCCATGCATGGCTGGCTCAGGAATTCTGGGAGTTGAACTCCACAAGTCATAAAAGAGTCAAGGTTGCCTATCCCTTGACCTAGTGTTTTTCAGACTTGGCAACTTTAAGATGTGTGGACTTCAAGGAATTCTGGGAGTTGAAATCCCCAAGTCATAAAAGAGTCAAGGTTGCCTACCCCTTGACCTAGTGTTTTTCAGACTTGGCAACTTTAAGATTTGTGGACTTCAAAGAATTCTGGGAGTTGAAGTCCCCAAGTCATAAAAGAGTCAAGGTTGCCTACCCCTTGACCTAGTGTTTTTCAGACTTGGCAACTTTAAGACTTGTGGACTTCAAAGAATTCTGGGAGTTGAAGTCCACAAGTCATAAAAGAGTCAAGGTTGCCTACCCTTGGCCTAGTGTTTTTCAGACTTGGCAACTTTAAGATGTGTGGACTTCAAGGAATTCTGGGAGTTGAAGTCCATATATCTGAAAGATCTATGGAGATTCTCGGTCATCCAAGTCACAGTTGTCCCAAAGGTGCTTTTTCAGAAGGCAACTGGACTTCCTTGTTTTTCTTTGAAGACACTTCGCTTCTCATCCAAGAAGCTTCTTCAGCTCTGACTTTCTTGTTTTTCTTTGAAGACATTTCGCTTCTCATCCCCACCATCCAGTCAGAGCTGAAGAAGCTTCTTGGATGAGAAGTGAAAAGTCTTCAAAGAAAAACAAGAAAGTCCTAGTTGCCTCCTGAAAAAAGGGACACATATCTTAAAGCTGCCAAGTTTGAAAAAGACAGTGCTGGAGGATACCTAAGCAGGAAACATTTGCAAGAAACATCTGGAACCCTGGAGCTGACGGAACAATAATCCTTTTAAACTCCACGTGGTCCTTCAATTGTACCATCACAATTACCGTATATTCCGGCGTATAAGGCGACTGAGCGTATAAGACGACCCCCAACTTTTGAGAAGATTTTCAGGGTTTAGAAAGTCGTCTTATACGCCAGAAAATACAGTACAATATTGAATTTTGTTTATAGATGAGCACAATAGGAGCTCCATTCCTTTGCTGCTAGAAAGCTTTGTCCTGTTAGTATTTCTGTAAAAGAAAATAGGGCTGGCCACTAGGGGGCAGATTGGTTTTAAATTCAGAAAACAGCTACCTGTATATATACCTGTATATTCCGGCGTATAAGATGACCCCCGACTTTTGAGAAGATTTTCAGGATTTAGAAAGTCGTCTTATATGCCGGAAAATACGGTACTATCTTGATTTTTGTTACCGAATGCTGCAGACACTACTACCCCGTTGTTTTTTCTTCATCTTTGCTGATGGGTTTGTTTCAGTACCAAACGATTTAAAAGAAGTCGCATGCCTCAGTTTTAATTATCTGCTTTCTCCTTCAATTTTCAGAACCGTGTACTCAGCCATCTGCATTGAGATGGCTTCTCGGGGCTTTTTGGTGATGGCGCTTGAACACAGGTGAGATTGAACCCCTTGAGAGAAGACATTTTAAGATTAGATTCATGTATTTATGGTTTGTTTGTTTTTTTAAAGAAAATATGCCTTTGATGCATCTATTTATTTTATTTATTTATTTTATTTATTAATAAAATTAAATATGCTGCCCAATCCCTAGGGACCCAGGGTGGCGTACAAAATTAAAACAATAAATATAACAATAAAAATGAGTGCATTCATACAACATGTCCCAATTGTGCCCCGCCCCCCCCCCCCGGGGACATCAACCCCAGACCTGCCGGAACAGGAGAGTTTTAATGGCTTTCTTGAAGGCCGGCAAGGTGGGAGTAGTTCGAATCTCAGGGGGAAGTTGATTCCACCACGCCGGAGCCACCACAGAAAAGGCCCTTCCCCGAAGGCCCGCCAGCCGACATTGTCTGGCCAACGGGACCTGAAGGAGGCCCAATCTGTGGGACCTCACCGGTCTCTGGGAACTATCTATCCCTATCCTAACATTCTGCTTCTTGATAGTAATGGCCATCATTTTCAAGAAATCGTTCTTGTAGTTTCATAATAGGAAGGATGTACGTTCGCTGCCTTAAGCGACTTTTACAGTAATAAAGGCAGAATAAAAATCAAATCAATCAATAAATGAGGAAGAGGGGAGCTGGGATCAATCAGTAATGAAGCTCAACTCATTTATGTTCAGTAATTTAATTAATTACCCTATCTATGGGTACTAGGCTTGGATACAAGTTCCAGAAATCCTTTCTTGAGTTGTTCTTTGATTTCAGAATTACAGCATCATGAAGCTAAGATTAGATCACCCTCCTTTCCAGGAAAGTATTGTCACATAGAGCCCAAGGAAAACCGAGTAGAGATTTTAATCACACATTGAAACTTTTTTGACTTCAGGCAGGCGTTTTGAAAAAGGAGAGGAACTGAAGGAGAATCCTTTCCTTCTTTGCTTTCCCATCTGGTCTTGCCCCACACTGATGCTCAAGGTATCTGCTCTTTACAGAGACCGATCAGCTTCTGCTACGTATTTTTGCAAACCGGATCCGGAAGCACCAGGTCTGCCTGAGGCTCAGATGAATGAAGAATGGCTCACTTACCGTAGGGTACCCAGAGAGCAGAAGGAATTTCATTTTCGGAACCCACAGGTATTTCATCTTGACTATCTCAGCCAGATAAGCTTCTTAAGGTGGCCTTGAATATCACAAACTTCAGTTAATCTGATCTCTCTCTGCATCCTGTTGGGCTTAACCCTGTGTGTGTAAGAGAGACCGTTGAGGAACAAAAGGGTAATGCAACCAAAAAAGCTAAGACAACCCTGGGTTGTATAAACAGAGGCATAGAATCAAGATCATGCAAAATACTAGTACTGCTTTACAAAGCCCTAGTAAGACCACACCTGGAAGACTGCAGCCAATTTTGGTCACCAAATCACAAAAAAGATGTTGAGAGTTTGGAAGAAATTCAGAGAAGAGCAGCAAAGATGGTCAAAGGCCTGGAGACTAAAACATAGGAAGAACCGCTTGCAGGACTTGGGTTTGGTTAGTCTAAAGAAAAGAAGAAATAGGGGAGACATGATAGCAGTGTTTTAGTATCTAAGGGGCTGCCACAAGGCAAAGGGGGCCAGGTTGTTTACCAAAGCACCAGAGGAAAGGACGAGAAACAATGGTTGGAAACTGATCAAGGAGAGAAGCAACCTGGAATTAAGGAGAAATTTCCTGAGAATGAGAACAATCAACCAGTGGAACAACTTTACCCCCAGAAATCGTGGGCACTCCATCACTGGAGTTTTTAAAGAAAAGACTGTGTCAGAATCCAATTATATTTCATTTCTAGTTATCGACTATGGAAAACCCCATTTCTGCCTTCTCTGGATTCTGTCGTACTACGAAGGAGAAGGGGGATGAGCAAAGGGATTTTATGGCTCTCACTTCCTTCATTAAAACTTCAAAGGGACTGAATGTGGATCTCACCAAGAGGACTGACCATAACAATGTGGCCATCAGCTTTCATCTACTACTCTCTGAAGTCTCCCTTCTGCGGGTTGAGAGGAAAAGGGGGTGGAAATGTAACGCCTGGGATTGTCGCTGGAAGGATGGTGGGTGGGGGCTGCTTGGGAACACTTAAAACCTTGAGTGGTAGGGGTTGGGCCCTCAAGTCCTGTCTAGAATGCCTGCAACCATCTCTGTTGGAAGAGATATTCCAAGAGTTCTGTCTTCTTAAGATGTAAAGTGGGGTGGGTCCTTACAGACTGGACAATCACCTGTCTGAAATGGTATAGGTTCTCCTGCTTGAGCAGGGGGCTGGACTAGATAGAAGACCTCCAAGGTCCCTTCCAGATTCTATTCTATTCATCTGTTCAATTCTAAATCTTTTTTCATTGCAGCTCCACCAAAGAGCAAACGAGTGCAAACGGGGACTCAAGCTGATGCAAAGTATCAACAGTGGCAAGGCCGTTGCAAACCTCCTTCACACAGATTTTGACCTCTCTACACTGAAGGTAAATATGTTGCCCTCCACATGCTTCGCCCCTTTAGAACACGGGCACAGTATTGAGATGAATGTAGAAAAGAGATGGAACTCGTGTCACCCGGGTGCAATGCTATTTTTGAAAGATGGGCCTGTTGGACCTCCCACTCACCCACCCACCCGTCAACACAGCAGAAGTCTTTCTTAGGGGAAAGAATTTTGGAAACGGTCTGTCAAGATTAAACACTGTTGTATGAATGAATTGGAGATTCTCCATCATCCAGGTCCTGGTTGTCCCAAAGGTGCTTTTTCAAGAGGCAACTGGACTTTCTTGTTTTTCTTTGAAGATGTTTCGCTTCTCATCCAAGAAGCTCCTTCAGCTCTGACTGGATGTGTAGAGGTGAGAGATAGGCGAAAGTCGTGTGCGGAAAACTGCCCCCCAACGCTTGTATCTTTGCTCTGCATCTATCGTCTCCCCCCCCTCACATCACCATAGTGACGTGAAAGTGCGCAGGTCTGTGTGACCTTGCCAGTTTGATAACGCTGGCTGGTGAACAACAAGTTTCCCTGTTTATGGCCTCTAGCTTTTTACTCTTGAGGATTGGTAAAGGATTTTAGCCAATGAAATGTTATTGCCATGCAGTATCTTTTGCTCTTTGTAAAACCCTATAAAAACAAATAAAGGCTGCGTAGAAGGTGGCCATTTCTTTGCACCCTTCAATGACTAAGGACTGATTACTACATGGATGGTGGGGAATGGAAGGATTGATACTCCTTGCAGGTCATTTCCATAATTTTAGAGAGTCGTTGAGGCCATTTGGAGGTTTAGCTGTGTCCTTAAGATCACCTGAATAATGCAAATGGGTGTGGAGCCTTCTTGGAGCTGCCGAAAGGACTGTGTTGTAGACAGGAGATAGATGATATCATATCCCTCCCCGTCTGTTGAGAGAAGGCTGTTCAGTTTTGACATAGATGGCCTCTTGGACCCCTCTTTCAAACCAGTGGTCCTCTCTGTCCAAAATGTGGACTTTGCTGGCTTGAAAAGAGTGGCCTTTATCTTTTATTGCGGAGGTCCCCAACCTTTTGGGCACCAGGGACCGGTTCCATGGAGAGAGTTTTTTCCACGGACTGAAGGGTGCGTGGTTTTGTGTGCTTCCTGCATCTCGCAGATGGGGCTTTGCTTGTTTGTGCGGCCCATTTGCTGGCATGCCGTGGCCCGGTACTGGTCCACGGACCAGGAATTGGGGACCCCTGTTTTATTGTATCAATGCTTTTTCTGTCTTGTACCTGAAATGTGTTTTCCTGAGTATTTGAGACACCTTGCTTTTGTTTTGAAGCTGACTTGCCTACCTTTTTGGCAAAGAAGGAGCTTAGGGGCTTACCTCCCCCTTGCCCTGCAGTCCCCCAGTTTATAAATCCAAACCAGAGGTTGCAACTGCCTTGTCTCTCATTCCCAAAGGAATCCCTGTGATTTCAGTCAGCCACCAGGGGGATTAGGACCTGGTGATCTCATAGAAAGCCAGCCCATCTTGTGCACATTGAAAGTATATGAGAACTGAACCGAAATTGATGATGGTGGTGATGATGATGATGACGACGATGATAGAAGAGAATATCTGTAGCTCAGGGTTGAACTGAGTTTGGTGGTTTGCTTGCAGATGTTTCCTTACCCAACGAGGTAAGTGATGTTGTTATACCTGGTTATGAAACGTCTGCAAGCAAACTACCAAGCTCAGATAGCCCTAAGGCAATAAACTATAATTTCTAAAAGAAAGAGTGAAGATAAAAGAATTTTAAAGACAGCGTTTTGAACTTTGGCTTGGAATCTGTATATACCTCTGTATGTGTGCACGTAAATGGGCATAAAGCCATTGTGTATTACTATAAACTAAGCACCAGAAATTATTATTAGGGCAGTATTGACAGCTGGAAGATGTGCTTTAGCCTTCACCAACCTGATGCCTTCCAGAATTTTGGTAGTATAATTCTCTGAATTTTTCCTGTGGGAAGATTGAAATGGGTTGGGAATATAATGGTTCATCATCATCATCATCATAAAATTGGAAGGGACCTTGGAGGTCATCAAGTCCAACCCCCTGCTCAGGCAGGAAACCCTATATCATTCAGACAAATGGCTATCCTGTCTCTTCTTAAAACCCTCCAATGTTGGAGCATTCACCGCTTCTGGAGGCAGGTTGTTCCACTGATTAATTGCTCTAACTGTCAGGAAGTTTCTCCTTAGTTCTCTCTCCCATAAAAATGAGAGAGTCTCTTATTGATAGACTCCTAGATCTCCCCTTGTTCTTGTAAATTGATCCCCAGTCTGGGGTTTCCCTAACTACAGTTCCCAACATTCCTCATTACAGGTAGTCCTTGTTACAACCATTATAGAGGCTGCTCACTACAGCCTTAAGTCGTAACAGTCATAAAACAGCTTTTTTTTATATTGGTCAAGTGCAATTTTTTTGTAAGACTTTTTTTTGCGGCAGTCATTAAGCAAACATAGCAGTTGTTAAGTGAACCAGTGATTCACTGTGGGCATGCTATTGGCAGAAAACAGGAAGCAAGTTTAGGTTTTTGACAAAACTGTAGTAAAAGAGTCACGTAACTGTGGGATACTGCAAATACCATTATGCAGTTATGTTGCTGAGCACTGAATACAGTCACATAACTGGGGAGGTGGGGGGAACTATTGGAACATCAGATCTGGGCTTTAATTCCCCTTTTCAGGCATAGAATTGCTAAGCAACCTATCGTAAGTTGAGGACTACCTTTATTGAACAGCTGGCGGGCTTCCTGTGAGCTGCAGTTCCCAGTAGCAGAATGGTTTTATCGCCATCCCTGGAGTCTTTGGAGATTCTTGGGTCATGGCATTAATGAGCTGGCTTCCTTAAGTGTCTCACTCCATCTCTTGCAGGACAATGTGGATCTGACCAAAGCCGCTGTCATGGGCCACTCTTTTGGAGGCGCGACAGCCGTGCTCTCTCTGGTCAAAGAAACCCAGTTTAAGTGAGTATCTTCCAAAACTGCTTTAAAGGAATTTCTTCTTCATTTTTTTAAAGAAAACTGCAACCTCAAAGAGTTTATTGATAACAAATGACAAACAAAGGCACCGTGGTGGCACAGTGGTTAGGATGCAGTATTGCAGGCTAGCTCACAGCCAGCAGTTCAATCCTGACCGACTCCAGGTTGACTCAGCCTTCCATCCTTCCAAGATTGGTAAATTGAGGACCCAGATTGTTAGGGGCAAATATGCTGACACTGTAAACTGCTAGGAGAGGGCTGTAAAACGTTATGGAGTAGTATATAAGTCTAAGTGCCATTGCTATGTGGGAAGCCAAGGGTTTTTGTCTCCTGCTTCACTAAGTGCCCTGCGCTTATTTTCCTCCTGTAGATGCGCAGTTGCCCTTGACGCATGGATGTTCCCTTTGGAGAACTCTGTTTACCCGAAAGTGACCAAGCCGGTGCTGTTTATCAACACAGAATCATTCCAGACTGCAGAGAGCGTGGCCAAGATGAAAAAAATCAGCACCACCAGCAGTGACAGCAAGATTATTACAATCCTGTGAGTCTGCACAGTCTCCAACGGTGATCAACAACGCCTTTGCCATAGTAGTGGAGAATGCACAATGAGAGGAGGTGTCATTCACAGATTAGACACACAGTCTCTCCCTGCAGGCTTGCAGTCTAAGAAGATGTAACACATGGAATTGGGGGGGGGAAGGGGGAGGTTAAAAATAAGGTGGGATCTGAAATGAAAAGAGGGAAGGACCATTTAGGGGAATAAAAGAGGGGGGATCTGTAAGAAAAAGACGGTAAACAACAAAGAACAGCGTGGATTAGCAAAGCAAACAGGGTTGCACCCTTGTAAGATAGCCACTTTTTGGATAAGTCGTATAAAATTCATTTGGGATTTGACCTAGCACAAAATCAGAATCCATTTGTCTCAGGAGGTGAAATGAATGCAAAACTAGCCCCTTAAAACAGAGAACCTTTGAAAGGGAGACATTACCAGATGGTTGTGTGTGTGTGTGTGTGTGTGTGTGTGTGTGTGTGTTTCCCCTCCCCGTGCTGGTGTTGAAAGATGACACTCTTGTAGAACAGTTTTTGACGCTCATTTCAGCCAGGAACGCAAAGGCAGCATCAGGTCTGCTTCTTAAAATAGTACTGGCAAAGCTTTTTTGGCTGATTTTTGAAGAAGATTTTTGCTAAATAAGTATGTCCAAAAATCCCCAGTAGTGTTCCTTCATCTGAAGACAATGGATGGTTGTGTGAAGAGGAGAAAAACACACTGCTTCGCTTTTTTTCCCCTTTAAGCTCTGCTCAATCAGGGTTTTGTCTAATCTCTCCCTCATCCCCAAAGAACTCTACTCCTAGCATGGCGGAAGGGATGTCTGTTACTACTGTGGTGTTTTCCTTTGTTTCACAAAGCCTCAGGAATGAACATAAGGCAGTATCCCTCCATTGCTCTCCAAGGCAAACTCTTGGAAGCTACAGTAACTTCAAACCTGGGAGTTTCATGCTGAGATTAGAGAGTAGTTGGACATTTCAGATGGTTACGTCCTCTTTCAAGCCACTGCATTTCACAATATCTTTTGAAAGTCGAAATTGCCTACTGTGTGTTCTTTAATTGCCTAGGCTTTCTCATCAGACGTTGAAATGACCTTTTTAATTGCTAAATCTGGGAGATGTCCCGTCTTTGGACTAGGGCAGGGCTAGGCAACCTTGGCTCTTTTATGACTCGTGGACTTCAACTCCCAGAATTCCTGAGCCAGCCATGCTGAGGGGAAAGGGAGAGACTTCCAATCTGAGCCATGCTGCCTCAGGAATTCTGGGAGTTGAAGTCCACAAGTCATAAAAGGGCCAAGTTTGAAGACCCCTGGTTTAAATATTTAAATATTTTTTCCTCACGATCACATGATCAAAATTCAGGCATTTGGGCAGGGGTAGGAAACCATGGCTCTTTTATGACTCATGGACTTCAACTCCCAGAATTCTTAAGCCAGCCATGCTGAGGGGAAAGGGAGAGGTTTCCAAGCTGAGCCATGCTGGCTCAGGAATTCTGGGAGTTGAAGTCCACGAGTCATAAAAGAGCCAAGGTTGCCTACCCCTGGACTAGGGGATCCATTTTGGATCCTGTTCTTCTCAGTGATTCACTTTTAATGTTGATATACTTTCCCCCCCTAGGGGTACCGTCCACCAGAGTCAGACAGATTTCACCTTCCTTGCCGGGAACCTTGTCAACCGGGTCTACAAAACAAGGGGCACCACGGATCCCTACGAAGGTCTGAATATCACCAACCAGGCTGCTCTTGCTTTCCTACAAAAGCATCTCCGTAAGTCAATATCATGAAAGTTGTTTCCTCCTCTAAAAGAGACATCATCCTATAAAGAACAAGACACCCATCAGATAAAAGGGAAAATCAAACTACATTAGTGGGTGCGGACTGAGAAGAGTCAATTTCAGAATAACAGAGTTGGAAGGTACCTTGAGGTCTTCTAGTCCAGGGCTTTTCAACCAGTGGTACGGGTACCACCTGTGGTACATTGGCACCTGGCAGATGGTACACGACCATCCTAGAAAAGTGGCAGTGGGGGGGGGAAGGGCCTGAACTAGTGGCAGCACCGCACAAGCCTGAGCGAGGGGGGCTGGAGCAGCAGGGCTGTCAGGGCTCAGTGGAAGCGCCAGGATCAGTGCCAGGCTCCAGCTGGAGCTCAGCGCTGATCCTGACGCTTCTGCTGAGCCCAGAAGAAGCACCGATCAGCTGTAAAGCGGCACTGATCCTGCTGGTGCTTCTCCTGAGCCCAGAAGAAGTGCCGATCAGCTGGAATGTTGCAGCATCTCCAGGGTCTTGTGATTTACATTCAGATGCTTGGCAACTGATTCATATTTATGACAGTCACAGTGTCCCAGCAGATGGGGGGAATAAAAACCAAACATCCTCCACCCCACCCCACTCCTGCTGCCAATCCTCAACAGAAATGCTCACAACAATGAAAACCTTAGACAGGAGGAAGAGTGCCGCCGGGCGGGCAGGCAGGTGTCTTGCTCGGCTGTGGCTTGGGGGCACTTTTTTCAGTGCCATTGTAACTTCGAACAGTCACTAAGCAAACTGTTGTAAGTCGAGGATTACCTATACTTCATCACTTTTTTCCTTTTTTGGGGGGAGGATCATCAAGTTTTTGACACCTTGCTAGGTGACTTGTGGTACTCAGATATTGCCATATCCTAAAAGTGGTACAATGGGTGAAAAGGTTAAAAAGCCCTGTTCTAGTCCAACCCCCTGCACAAAACCTTACACCATTTCAGTTAAATAGCCATCCAATCTCTTCTTAAAAACTTCCCGTGTTGGAACACCTGCAACTTCTGGAGGCAAGTTGTTCCACTGATTAATTGTTCTAACAGTCAGGGAGTTTCTCCTTAGTTCTAGGTTGCTTCACTCCTTGATTAGTTTCCATCCGTTGCTTCTTGTCCTCCCTTTAGGTGCTTTGGAGAATAGCTTGACTCCCTCTTCTTTGTGGCAGCCCCTGAGATATTGGAACACTGCTATCATGTCCCCCCTCGTCCTTCTTTCTATTAAATTAGAAATTAGACATATCTGGTTCCTGCAACCATTCTTCATATGGTTTAGCCTCCAGTCCCCTAATCATCTTTGTCTGTCTTCTCTGCACTCTTTCTAAAGTTTCAGCATTTTTTTATATTGTGATGGCCAAAACTGGATGCAGTATTCCAATTGTAGTCTTATTAAGGCATTATAAAGTGATACTGACACTTCACATGATCTTGATTCTATCTCTCTGTTAATGCAGCCTAAGACTGCATTGGCTTTTTTGGCAGCTGCAGCAGCACATTGCTGGCTCATATTTAAGTGATTGTCCACTAAGATCCCTCTCACAGTTACTACTATTGAGCAAAGTACCATCATTTCACCAGTTGGCTTTCTCCTAACTGGGTGTGCTTACTTTGCATGGTACAGTAACTCTTTTATGAATGGGCAAATCCTTCCATGCTATTTCCAGAAAGTATCACAAGATGCCTTCAAATTCCAAATAGGTCACATGATGAAAAAGGTGCTCTATCTCCTATTGTATTTCACTGCATAATGCGACACTAGTCTTTAAAACTTGGCACCACAGCTGCTTGATGCAATAACTCTTCCTTTTTTTTTTTTTCATCTAGAACTCAAAGAAGATTTTGACCAATGGGATAATCTTCTGGAAGGCATAGGCAACTCGGTGGTCCCAGATAGCCCCTTGGCAAAGTCTACCCTCTAGGCAAGAAATATCTCTCCCCATATTGTTTTGGGGCATCGTCTAGATTTGTTTTTGTTTTTTTCCCCCTTTGAAGGGATGCAAAGCATCCTTGATATAAAATTGCTCTTCAGATGTTGGACATTTTGCAGAATTGCTCTTCATGATGATGGACATGTTCCTGAGATCTACTATGAAGGCTTCACTTCTTTAGGAAGCATCTGCTGCTTAGAAACATTTTGAGTTACCTTATATGTGCCTCTCCTTCTACCAGGACTACAGCAAGACCTTTAAGAAAAGGATGGACCTAATTGTGAGTGAAGACATTGAAATATGTTGGGGTGGGTGGGGGTGTAATCCTTGCACTTTAAAGTAAAATGTAGCAGGAAAGCCACAAACTCACTGCCTAGAATCTGCAGCCTGCTATCCTGATAGCATCCTTTTCCAACTTGTGTTCCGAAAACTAGAAAAGGAAGACCTACCATAGTTTAAAGCTGTTAATTACAGCTATGAAGCTGGATTGAAAAGATCCTTCTTTTTCAACTACCTTGTCAGGGTAGGCAAGAAGGAATATACTCACCCAATGATATTGTGGCAGAAAATGTACACGAAGAATGTACACGAAGCAAGAGCTTAATCATGTGGAGGTCTGAGTATCAAAACTTTAATCTTCTGTTAAATGCAAGTTTTCTGATAGACCAGATTTGCTATGACAGACATTTTGTGAATCACAAACCTTTATGATAGCGGTGAGAAGAAAGAGGCCTCTGGTGCTAAGGAACTTTAGGCCTGTGCTTTTCAGGGCAAAGTCTCTGGGGTAAATTGTCACAGTTGTTAGAGTTTTGTAGCTAAGCTGAAAACATCTCACATCATTTATAATCCTTCTGAGTCTACTGAAAAATGTCTGCTTTGCGGTTCCCCTATCACTGGGGCACAAACGTAGCGCTTCGTTGCAGTTCTTTAAAGCAGCCATATCTTTTCCTGGGATCATGCAGCTGCTTTGCACATCTGCTGAATGATCCTAGCAAAAGACATTGTTAGTTTAAAACAGTGTTTCTCAACCTTGACGATTTTAAGGCATGTGGACCAACTCCCAGAATTCCACAGCCAGCAATGGGAGTTGAAGTCCACATGCCTTAAAATTGTCAAGGTTGAGAAACACTGGTTTAAAAGGTTGAGACCAGAACTGGGATTCTGCCCATTATAGATTTTGAAGACCCTTTATGGAACAGATCCATAACACTGCAAAGCTTTCCTACATTCATAAAAAAGAGAGGAGGGACTTTGATTAAAAAAAAAAAAAGACATAAAGTAAACTAATTACCAGCTCAAAACATATCAAGGAAGTAGTTTTGTGTGCATGAATTGGTGGGCAAAATAGAGAGAGCAGAGTATAATAACTTACCCCATAATCTTACATTCACCTATGTAGAAGTTTATCTCATTAAGTTCATTGAATTTACTACAGGAAGTCCTCGCCTTACCAGTGTAACTGGGACCGGAATTTCTGTTTGCTAAGCAAGGCAGTTAAGTGAGTGGTGCTCAATTTAACAACCCTTTTTGCCCTGGTTGTTAAGCGAATCACCACAGTTGTTAAATGAATCACATGGTCATTAACCGAATCCAGCTTCCTCCGTTGACCTTGCCTGTCAGAAGTGAGCTGAGAAGTTGCAGATGATCACATGAGGCTGAGACACTGCAGCTTTCATAAATGCTTTCTGGTTACCAAGTACCCAAACTTTGATCATGTGACAATGGGGATGCTGCAACAATCATAAGTGTAAGGACTGGTCACAAGCCACTTTTTTCAGTGCCATTGTAACTTCAGACAAAGGCTGATTGTAAATCGAGAACTACCTATACTTGGTAAATTCTCAGCCTCTTTGATGTAATCTACATTTACAGTACAACTGCAATTCCATTTTTACACCTTAGATGATACACATCCCACCTTATTCGTATCCTGCTCACCCAAGCAGGCTGCTGTTATTTTTTTAAACATAAGATTTGAATGCTGCTACACAGTTAATTCCAAAATATTAAAATGGAAGACACAAAATTCCAATTGATTGTCCACCTAGGTCAGGGGTTCTCGAACTTGGCAACTTTAAGACTTGTGGACTTCATCTCCCAGCAAAGCTGGCTGAGGACTTCTGGGAGTTGAAGTCCACAAGTCTTAAAGTTGCCAAGGTTGAGAACCACTGACCTAGAGCTATTGCTACCCTCAGAAGAACCCCTGGAGGTCTTAGGCTGTACCCCAAACTATTCTTGGCAAGAAAGTTGGAGTTCTAAGCATTAAGGAGAGAGAAAGAGCGCGCATTTCTTCCAGCAGTGGGAATCCATCAGGATCTGTTTGGGTGCCTTCACAGCTGCTGTGACGGCTGCAGTGTAGCAGCAATAATTGCTGTGGGCCTCTGTGGACAATCCTTGGGGATAAGAAAGGAACAGGAAGGCAGAGTCTGCTCTGTTGCCCATGATCAAGGAGCTTATATCATCCTGGCTGGCCCTTGCTGAACAGATTGAGTCTTTCCACAGCCCGTCCAGCCACTGACATACTGTAGAGCAGGGATGTCCAGCCAGGGCAATAAATATAATAAATTTTTGTGGACTTCAACTCCCAGAATTCCCAACCATCTAGATCAGGGGTTCTCAACCTTGGCAACTTTAAGACTTGTGGACTTCAACTCCCAGAATTCCTCATCCAGCTTTGCTTTGCTGGCTGAGGAATTCTGGGAGTTGAAGTCCACAAGTCTTTTTTATTTTATTTTTTTATTTATTTATTTTCAAAATTTTATTTAAATTTTCAATACATATAATTCTCTCCATACACTATACATAAAACTAAAAAAATGAGAAAAATACCTTTAAAATAAGACCTTAGGTGTCGCTCGTCTATCTCCCCCCCCCGACTGCGTCCGCCCTCTCAGCCTTCCTTCCTTCCTTCCCTACTCCCTCTCTCCTCTCCTCTCCTCTCCTCTCTCCCCTCATCCCTTTCTCCCTTCCAACTTCCTTCCTTCCCTCTTCCTCCCCTCTTATCCCTCTTCGGATACAGTTCAGGGGAAACACCCGAGCGGCACCTCCCTCTAAATTACTCCATCTATTTCATACTTTAATATTTCTATATATACTTAATCCCACCCCTCCCTCCCTACCCCCCCCCCACTTCCCAGAGCAAGATACAGGGTTATTATAAACAAAACTAACACAATATATAACTTTTAAAACAAAAAAAAAATTTCTATACAATAAACAAATTCATACATTACCCTTAACTCACTCTAAACTTAACAAAAAATAATAATAATATAAACAAATCTACTATAAATCAAATATTATAAGAATCTATAAATAATAATTATAACCTTTAATCATAAAATAAATGGAACTTTAAAGTTCCATATTTATTCTGAATATAATCTATCCACCTTCTCCACACTATAATAAATTTTTCTTGTGTATGGTCCTTTAAATAAGCAGAAATTTTTGCCATTTCCGCTAAAGTAGAAACCTTAAGTATCCATTCTTCTAAAGTAGGCAGCGAATCCTTCTTCCAGTATAAACCTACAAGTAATCTTGCTGCAGTTATTAAATTCAACATTAAAATAGTTTCATTAACATCTAAATCCATAAAAATACCCAATAAAAATAGTTGAGGAGTAAACTTTATCTTCTTTTTAAAAATCTTTTGAATGTTCCACCAGATCATTATCCAGAAAGCTTTAACCTTCTTACAGGTCCACCAAACATGAAAGTAAGTTGCATCAGTACTATCACACCTCTAACATTTGGGCTGTAAGTTAGGATACATACAAGCCAATTTTTGGGGATCCAAATGCCACCTATAAAACATTTTATACAAAAGTCCACAAGTCTTAAAAGTTGCCAAGGTTGAGAACCCCTGATCTAGAGGATGATCGGATACACTTGAGAAGAGCAGGCTAGTTTAGGAGGCACAGGCATTGAAGCGTACGTATAATTCCTCACCGTGCAATTCAAATGCTGGTGGTTATCAACTAAAAACCCTTCATGGCATTGGGCCGTGAAGAACTATCAGGCTTCTGTGGCTTTTATCCAGCCTGTGTAATTGGGCAGAATGGCCATGTTCCAGGCCATCCATTAAACCAGTGTTTCCCAAACTTGACAATTTTAAGGCATGTGGACTTCAACTCCCAGAATTCCACAGCCAGCGTTGCTGGCTGTGGAATTCTGAGAGTTGAAGTCCTCATGCCTTAAAATTGTCAAGTTTGGGAAACACTGCATTAAACAATGTCTTCCGATGCAATCTAGGAAGCGTGTCTTCTCCATCCCAGCCCTTGACTGTGGAACACCTTCTCTCTGCCCCCTATTTTAGCCATGTTCAAAAGACCTCTGAAAACCTGATGCTTTCTCCAGGGTTTGGGTTAGAGGCAGTAGCAGCTTCCGTGGGATTGATTGTCTTTTAATGGTTATTTTCCTTCTGGCATTGGGGTGAGGGATGGGGTTCATTTGTATTATATGATTGCTTTTACTGTACACTTCCAGACTCATTGTAGAGTTGAGCAGCCCTACGCATTTCTAAAATAAATAAAAATGAAACTCTGTTCTCGGATTCGAAGGCTTTGGCTAAGCTATCCCACTGTTTCAACCAGAGCCTGGGACAAAACATTGTGCAGGCTATTCAGTTCTGATAGAATAAATCAAACTGGATCAAATGGTTATTGTTGAGGCCACCTGTTCATCCAATCAGGGCTCAAACATCCCCACACGTAAGTTAAATACAGATTTTGAGTTAACTGTAACTAACCGTGTTCACACGCAAGGCTAAGCCATAAAGCGGCTTGCAAACCAGAGAGCTGGGTTTATGCACATTAAGCCAAACTATATTGTGGCTTGACACAATGCTTGAATCTGGCAAATTGTTTTCCATTGCAGAAGTAATTAAAATAAGCAAGACTGTTTGCTGGGTGGGGCTTTAATTCTGGAAAACTGATTCTGCATGGGCCACCTTCCCCAGAGAGTTCGATTTACAATTTGGCAAAGTCTCTGGATTCCATAGGAGCAATGTGTATAAATTCATTTCTGGAAGAACACAATCTAAACTAATGAAGCTGAAGCTTTTGCTGATTATCTCCACTGAAGGGCATTTGACATGGACTTCCTTTGTACATTGTTTAAACATTTAAGCCTGTACTGTATAGAACTCAACTGCCAGCTGTTATCTCCAAAGAGCATATAGCTTCCTTCCCTGTTCTGCTTCCATTCAAACCGTTTAGCTTTGGAGATGGTCAGTAGAGCCTTCATGGGCTCTGGCTGAACAAAAAGCCCAGCTTTGGTTGGACTAAAGTTTGGCTTGTTTTAACTATGGTTAATGGAATTTACCATAATTTGCTAGGTAAATGCAAAAAGCTAAGCTATAAACTATGACTTAGAATGGCTGGATTCACACATCGCACTACACTGAAGCCAAGCAAGCAGCATTATGACATAGCATGTTGTTTGAAAGAGAATAACAGAATAACAGAGTTGGAAGGGACCTTGGAGGTCTTCTAGCCCAACCCCCTGCTCAAGCAGGAGTCCCTACACCATTTCAGACAAACGGCTGTCCAATCTCATCTTAAAAACTCCAGTGAAGAGGCTGTGGAGCATTTAACTGTCTGTTCTAGAATGTTGTGCAGTATGAAGGAATGTAACCAACAGTTGTGTTCCACAACAAACAAGCAGCAGCCTAAATATTTGATAAGGTAGATGGTTCTTCCTCAGACTGAAGTGTGTTTGCTGTTGGAGACCTTGTGGAAGAACTTTTGTGGAAGATCTCCAGAACAGGAATGGTTGCGAATGGACCATTGGATGCAGATCCTCAGCAAGAGTAGAAAGGTAAGATAAATAAAAATATATTTTAGTTGAAAACAAGTCTTGACAATGGAGCATCTCTGCAAAAGGCAGTCTAGTCATTTCTTTTTTTAGCTGTACTAGAGGACAGCTAAGTTCCATTTCCAGTCTGCCTTTGCATTGCTGGGGATTTGTTCTGACAGCCACACAATTGTTCAGGGAATCCGTTGTGTCTTGCCCCATCTAACCTCAGGGCGGTCACGTGCTAGAGACACGCTTCAGAGGAAGCCATTCAGTATGGTTACATAACAGGAAGATGGAGGAAGGAAGGAAGGAAGGGGCATTGGAACATCAGAAGCAGATGACGTGGTTACCCCTGGAGGTGTCTCTGCAAAGGCTGAAACTCCTTAAGTGCTTATTAACTCTTGTTGTTCTGTGCAATTGTTCCCAAACAGGATTTCAGGATTTCTTTTCATACAGCATTCTGTTGTTTGCTGGGAAAGGCTTTGCAGCTGTAGGGGGGAGTACTTGGACACCCAAAATAGACTGTTTCTTTGAGAGAAACGTCCTTCTCAAGGGAGACAAAGATGGCTGCTAGCAAAGGCGTTATCCTGTCCTGAACATCCGCCTCCCTTTCAGAGCCAGTCTTCCTGGGTCTTTAAAGGCAGCAGCATCCTCTGGAGGGGAGAGGATTTGCTCTGCGCAGAGGCCAAAGGAAAAAAGGCCCAACATCTGGAACAGACAATTTCTTCCAGTTGGAAGATTTTCCTCTTTGAAAAATCCCAACCTCCAAGCAAGGGAGGAAGTCTGCAGATGGAGTACCGATATTTCCACTCCTTGACTAGTGCTGAAATGCTGGAACTCTTCTCCATTTTTATTTATCTGTTTGGGATAGGAGTAAGGAGAGGATAGAATTTTTAAAAGTTAAAATACAGTAGGTGCCATGACTTAGAATGGCTGGATTCGCACATCGCATTACACGGAAGCCAAGCAAGCAGCATTATGGCATAGCATGTTGTTTGAAAGAAAATAACAGAATTGGAAGGTACTTTGGGGGTCTTCTAGTCCAACCCCCTGCTCAAGCAGGTTGAATGCACCTCTTTTTTAAAATAATAATATAAACTTTGTGCTATCTGTGGGTGCCCCTTTTTTTTGACAGCCTGAGCTTGGATTGCCCTGAGCTTGGTTTCTAGCACAGCATGTTGTGTGAACCCAGTCCATTTTGGTTTACAGGTAGTCCTCTACATGACCACAGTTGGGAGCAGAATCTCCATTGTTAAGCAAGGCGGTTCTTAAGTGTCTGATTTTATGACCTGTTTTGCCATAATTGTTAAGCAAATTACTGCAGTTGTTAAGTGAATCGTGGTCATTAAACAAATCTGACTTTCCTCGACTTTGTTGAAAGCCAGCTGGAAAGGTCCAAATGGCACCCAAATTTTGATCACGTGATGGCGTATAATGGATTGATGGTTTATAATTAATGATATCAATTGAAATTTGTATGTTGTGTATGTTAATCTGTCATGGTATGGTAATGGTTGGATTTAAATAGCAGGAGCACTGATATTCATTAATTGCATTGGCTTATATGAAATCATTCGGGGGGGTTTTTAAGTAGAGAAGAATTATAGAATCATAGAATCATAGTCCTGCTTCAAAACTGGAAGATGGATTAGGAATGCTCAGTGTGTATTCTGTGACTACATGTATAATCTTTATGTTCCATTAACGGTACCATCTGTCATTTCAAAATAGGGACACTAGTATCTTCCCCCTTCTGCTGCTTCTCCCCAGTTTTATTTTTTGCTGTCACCTGTCTGTCTATCATCTATCCATTCATCCATCCTTCCATCTCCAGCTGTTTTATTCTTTGCCTCTGCAATTTCTTTGCTGTCTCGAATGACAAAACGGCCCTGGTGAGCGTGTCAGATTACTCATACAAAGATGACCTACTAAAACCCGTGAACGCTTAGCAGACTGCCTTTTCATTCTGTAGCCTCAAGCACAAAAAGAGAGAAAAGAAATATATGCATATGGTTGGGGCACAGAATTTATGCAAGCAGCAGAGGGGCAGGGCTTCAGTCACCTCATTGTGGCTGTCATCTGCTTTTGACCTCCCTCAGTAGGCAATCTTGATGAATATGATCAGGTTATTTTGGATCTTGATCTATATCTGTGGCTAATTTCTACTTATATTGATATTTAGTTAAGCTTTCTTAATGTTGTCTGAAGACTACTGATAAAGCCATCAAATGCAACATTGTACTTGGACAGCAACTTTAACAAAACATCTTGAACCTCCTTAAAATTGGCATTTTTTTTTCTGCAAAACTCTACAGCAGTGTTTCTCAAACTTGGCAAGTTGAAGACACGTGGATTTCAACTCCTAGAAATCCCCAGCCAGCATGCTGAGTGGAGAATTCTGGGAGTTGAAGTCCAGAAGTTTGAGAAACGCTGCTTTGTGGATTCTTAGAGGATCTGATGAGGGCGAGAGAGGAGTCTAACTCAGGGGTCTTCAAACTTGGCCCTTTTATGACTTGTGGACTTCAAGTTCCAGAATTCCTCAGTTCGCGTGCCTGGCTGAGGAATTCTGGGAGTTGAAGTCCACAAGTCATAAAAGGGCCAAGTTTGAAGATCCCTGGTCTAACTGCTTTCATTGCCAAATTTTGGAGTTTGTTTGGGCCAGATGCCCCCCGTTTCTCCCCTCTTTGAATTAACTCACCTCTTTCTGTCCACCTACCTATTGCTTATTTACCTGCCAAGGTTACGCAGTCTGACATTTTAAACAATTTTAGTCTGCTCCATCCAACATTGCTAGTATTAAGAATTCAGTCCAAAACACCTGGCAGACATGTTTTCTGCCCGTGTCACTTTGTCCCTTATTTCAACCAATTTCTCCACATACAGGATTTAGATAGTTTTTCCTATGAGGTTGATGCAAAACACAGATTGTTTTTTTAACGAGTATTGGAGAAAATGCATCATAAATGTAAAATGCTTCATTTTACATTATTTATCTAAAGCATACAAGTGGCAATCTTATTAATCAAAATTAGTCTTATACCATGCCAAATGATAGAATTAAATTATTAACATTTAATGCAGTTTTCTTAACAATAGGAAAACATCAGAAATTAAACACATGCATTAGTATATGATAATCCAAATAAATATGAGAAATAGGCCTATAGTCGGGACTTCCTATTATAAAATGCTTCTGGAAATAGAAATCTTCAGATGGTTGAATAAGGGGTATCGTCCCAGACTTATTTATTTTTTTATTAGTAACAGTATGGTAGTCCTAAAATATGTACTGTATTGTATAATACACCTATATTTAACTTACCACTTTGTGGATAAAACAGAGGAAGCAGACTAAGCAACTAATTAAAAGCATCATAGCAAATGATAAAACCATTAGTTGTAACGATTAATTTCAGCCCCATTAAGGTGGATTCTGATTGAACAAAAATTCAATTCTTAGCAGAACAGTTCACCAGTGCAACCAATTAGCTGCATAGAGAATAGGATCCCTTCATGGATGGATCCACATGAAAGCTAGACTGCTCTTGATCTGCGATACAGAATTTCTCCTGTAGCAAACAGAAGGATGGACCCAGAGACCCAAAATGATCCTTATAATAATAATAATAATAGGAGTAAAGTTGGAAGGGACCTTGGAGGTCATCTAGTCCAACCCCCTGCTCGGGCAGGAAACCCTACACCATTTTGGACAAGTGGCTGTCCAGTCTCTTCTTAAAAACTTCCAGTGTTGGAGCATTTACTGCTTCTGGAGGCAAGCTGTTCCACTGATTAATTGTTCTCACTGTCAGGAAGTTTCTCCTTAGTTCTAGGTTGCTTCTCTCTTTGGTTAGTTTCCATCCGTTGCTTCTTGTCCTGCCTTCAGGTGCTTTGGAAAATAGCTTAATTCCCTCTTCTTTATGGCATTTAGCTCAGTGATAGTGTGCTTGTGAACCACAGAATAAGACATTCCGAAAGAGGATAGCGTCCTTTGAAAATAAGGGACATGGCAAATTTTGACCAGATCCAACAGCTGATTCAATTTATTCCTGAAAATGCAAGAGGGTGTGGTGTCTCCACCTCAACCTAAGGAATCTTCTTGAGGGCTATTCATTTGAGAAGCTACAGAAGAATCCTTTATGTGTCTACTCAAGAGCAGGTGTCCAGTTGGGGTGTTAAATAGCTTTGCAATCAATGACTTGCTCTCTTTTTAGTTGTTACATATGGGAGCCACATAAAAAAGGTAGAGGGTTGACCACAACTGCCATGTTGACTTTCTGGTCCCCTACAGATGCCCCTCTGAGAAGTAAGTGCTTTTATAATTCAACAAACTTTGTTTCTAATTAAACACACCTAGATTTAGTGTAGAATGAAATGTGCATGTTGATATCTTCATTTGGAAAAGGAAGTGATGTTGGGATCCTGCTGAAGCCTTTGAAGTTAAAGTGGCTTTGGAGGGGGAATTGTATAATGATACAAAAGAGCTTTTAATATCTTCGTTTCTCTGCTAATTGATATCTTAAACAGAACTGTGACATGAATTCCAGAGAGGGCAGCTGGCTGCCTTCTCTACGGTCTTCACACACCACCAACCATCCCTGCGAATAGCTGGAGTCAGTCCATTAGAAGAGGGATCAGAAATAATTTATACAATTGCCATTTGAAAGATTAAAATCAAGCATGTTCCATCTTCCCAGTTTAGAAAGGGGCTCTTTTTATCATCCACTGGAGACTATACACACCATTAGTTTGATCACTGAAAGCCATCTGTCTTGGTAAGATAAACTTGATGTAGTCCCTTGGGCAAAAGGAAGGACAATGTCTTCACTGTGGCACGTTGCAGAAATCCAGAGAACAATATACAGGCTCAAACTTGCCTTGACATCTGAATCTACTTATCCCAATTGCACCAGGATCAACTGAGCCATAGCCAGCTTCCAATTCTTTTAGAATCACCTTGATGAAAGTATTTAACAAAGGTGTAGCTTATTCACTAATGGAGAACTTGCAGCTCTCCAAATATT